TGGCACCTTGCCCTCAACGATCAGGTCTACTCTGTGACCGTTGGGCAGAAGTAAGTAGGGTCGCTTGCCTGCTGGCCAGACGAAACTAAAGCCGCGATCCACGCACCGCTCTCCTACCGAGATCGCCGCCGGTGTTTCCGGCATGACCAATGCCTCAAAATTCCCACCCCTGAAGTTGGGGCATGCGACGCAGACTGAACCAGGGGCCCGGGAGGAACCTCTGGCAGTATTCAGGGTAATCGGGTCTTCCAATCGTTGCGCCTGCAGCTCGAATGAACCTTTCTGCGACGAGGTTACGTCCACAGCCTGCGTCAACTATGAACCTGAGCGCGCCGAGGTGCACAGGCGACTTTTCCCTGCACCCCGCAGCGGCTGAGCCGCCCTGGGCGGCTCGCTCACTTTCTTCAGACGCTAGCCAAAGATGCCAAACTTCGCCGGCCAAATCGGATGCCCTGGGCTGCGCGTCTCTCAACGATGCTTCCCATTCAGTCTGCATTCGTCGATGCCCCCCCCTGGGGGATGTCCATCTGTTGTCGACGCTCGAAGGCAGCCCCCCTGGGCTGCGGCGACGCGCCTTCCTTCGAGTAGGAATCGGCTCACGAGTGGAGAGGTGGAACTTCGCGCGATTGCCGAATCTACCCGCGCTCGCAAGTATGATACTGCTTCTCCGGGGAGGCTCGCCACAACAGGCCGCGATCGCCTCCCCAGGAAGAGGATGCAACTGAACGAGAATAGCGACGAGTTTCGTCAGCGTCTCTCTGCGTTCTTGTTGTGTCTCGGAAGCAGGAACGGCTTCCTCGGAACATTAAGATGAAGTGAACATGCGTTGCCGAAGTCGACCGCAGCTGGTCGCCCTCCTGAATTGTCGCGTAGACCACGAGATCCCCTAGCCAGCGGGGCAGGGCAGGCAAAGATGGCTCGGCTGGCTGCGCCAGGGAGCCCATGCTTGCCCTTCCATCGTCGGCTTAGCCGGCGGGGCACTTGTGACCACATTGCCATAAGAAGAATGAGCATCAGCAAGATAAGGGAGAGATATGCAGCAATCATCCTGCACTGGCCCATAGTACGCCAGTACCCTACCATCGTCACGGATGATTTGGAATGTTCTTCGCATACCAACAGTCTTTGCCTCGTGAGCAAGCTCCTGTCTCGGCAAACGCCCTACGTGGTTTATCTTTCCCCTTTCCTTAACCCTTGTCTCTGTTCTTTCCGCGGCCTCTGCTCGACCCCCTGCTTCTCGGGGTCTCGCCTGGCGCAGCATCACCGGCGTTCGCAGCAGCAAGATCGGCCTGCTTGGAAGTTCTCAGATTGCCCAAGGACATGCCAGTTTTGAGCTGGGCTTCTATTTATCGCGTTTCATTTTCTCAGCCTCGGGCAAGCCCCCGCGCCGCTTATTGCGCCCACTCTGAGGGCCCTTGCAGTTGCGAGGATCTCGCGGCCATGCGCAGCACGCCATCTTGCTTTGGCGTTCTCGCGAGACCTCCGACTGACTCCTCGTCCGCGACTGCGTCGCATTCGAGCTGCCGAATTTGCTCGACGGAGTCGAGGGGCGGGGCCGGTCCTTTCTTTTCGGGCCTCTACTCCCAGACCTCTCATCCCTGCCTATGCGATCGTTCTTTCCGCCGGCAGCTCTGGCATCGCGGCGCGCCGCCCGCCCCCGGCCGCGCTGGCGCGGCAGGTGCCTCGGGCTTCTTGCGATTGCAAGGGCAACCTTGCCCCGCTTCGGGGCAATTCTTCCCTTGCTTCACACAGTTGCTGGTTGCCTCACCTTTCGATCTTCCGCTCGCCGTCTGATCCGCGGGCAATCCCAGTCGATGGGCCGTCGCCGCCATAGCAGAGGCTCTTCTTCCGCCCCCGCCACCCTCGTTCGCCCCACCTGTCGGGCGGGCCTGTCTATTTCTTGAACTGAGGGTCGATTCACGTTCAGGTTCCACGGCTTCAGGGACCCATGTCTGCGCCGCGCGAACGCCATGTCATGATCCAGCTACCGCCCCCACGCAACGTTGCTTCCATTCTCGGAGTGTCTGGGCGCTCGGTATGTCGAGCAAGTTTAGTTCTGTATTGTTTCCAAAACTCCTATAATGCACGTGCATTTGGTTGGCGCGAAACGGCCGCCAGGTCGAGTCATTGTGGCCATTCGCCCCCTCGCCGCCATCTCCGCCTGGGTCGCCGTCGCCACCGGGCACCCCTGGAAGGCCTCTTGGTGGCTTGGGCTTAATCGTTTCATCAAACTGCATCGCAACATTCATTCCTGTGCTGGGGCCATCTCTCCGATCGTCGCCGCGGCCTCCCGAGCCCCCACCTCCTTCGCCAGATGCGGCTGGGCCGATGGCGAAAGGGAAAGTGTCCAGGCAAGTCGAAATTGTTAGGATGCTCCGATATCTTGGCATTGAAGGGGGCATTTCCGGGACTCGTTCCTTGGGCGCCCCCCAGCATCGGACCTGCACTCGCTCCAAAGGTATCCTCGACAGCCGGCCCAGGAATGAATTGCGACTTTGCGAGGGGAAGCGAAGCATTGACGGAGCGGTCAACATCGGAATTTTGTAAAGATCCGACTTTTCTGATTTGAATACTGGCGTGCCCGTATCGGTGAGATTGCTCATCTGGCGCTCGGGTGCAATATCTTTAGGCGAGGCCGAGTGTCTCGGTGCTTTTCCATCGGGATCATCGTTTGCCCGCTGAGTATCGGGTATACCGCAGCATTCTTCCCTTTTCTCGCAGGCATCCTGATGTCCTGATGTTCTCCTCCAAGCACATTCATCGCAGCGCTCGGTGCCCGTATCCATATGATCCTCACGCGCGCGCTTCAAACAACTCTTGCATACTTCAATCGAAAGTTTTGTACATATGTGACAGATCTGACTCGGAGAGCATGTTCGCGCTTGGGCTTGCGAGGTGCCGGGCTTCCTAACGGGGCGAGCAACGGTCGGGTGAGGAGGCGGCTCAACGTGCGTCAGCTGTGCCAGCGTTGATTCGACCTCTTCCCTGGGGCCATTTTCTACTGGCGAAGCCGTAATCACGGACCCTACTTTGGGCAAAGACTCTGTCGTGGGTTGCCCGGTTAACCCAGCCCCGCCCAACGGTTTTTTGTCCATCCGACGTTGCTCAAGGTCATACCTCAACCTCAAGTTGTCCTCGATCACGGCCCGAGTGGCAATGACATTGTTTCTTACATGTTCATCTGCGTGCCCCTTCAGACGGTCCCGGGCAACGGCCAGTCTTTCATGGTCCTCATCTCTAGTTGCCTGGGCCCTCTGTTTTTCCCCAAAGGCTCGCATGGCTTCAGATTTCACTCCTTCGGCCTCGAGTCTAGCAGCTTCAATTTGATTGCGGAGCTCCTGATTTTCTCGCGATGATTGTTCTCGGGTTTTTTTCTCTCCTCCCCTCCTCGCTGCATCAGCAATTTCTCAGTATTCAGTTGTTTCCCTCTCAGCCTTCTGCTGTGTCTGACACCAGTTGTTCAGCTATGCTCTGGATTCTCAATCGTTCAATATCCTCTTGAGCAAGGCGCCGGTGTGCTTCGTTTGTAACCCCTGCTACGTTGGCCTCAGCATGCTGCATCAGTTTCTGCGCAATTTCTGCGCGTGAAATCAAACGAATTGCACTGACAACAGCACCGCAGGCTCACTACGCTTCCACACGTTGATTATACTGTCCCTTGGGTAACGTCGCTGGTTTCGCGCATCGCGCCCCGCGACGTGCGATGCGAGAGTTTCTTCGAACCCTCGCGCCCTCGCGCCAAGACCGCGACGCGCGAAAAACGATTATCTTCACGCCCCCGTGGGTGACATCCGTTATCTTCGTCCTGTAGAAGGACAGCGCCGACACAAGAAATCCGCGCGGACCTCTGGATGTGGCTGCTGTGTGTGGTATGCTGCGTGCCTGGCCTCGCCATTTTCATCCCCGAAGGATCCAACACAGTGGGTCTGCTGCAGCGTAGGGGTATTGATCTTGGCTGCTAAGAATGCACTACACAAAGGAGCAGCTTCCTGAATGACACCAACGAGAATGAGGAGGGGGCCAAAGAAAATTCCTGGAAGGCGATAGGGGACATCCTGAAAACAAACTTCCTGGAAGGTACGGTTCATCATGCCCTTTGCTCTGACACCCCATTTTTCAATTGACAGTTCGGCTGACGCTCCCACTGTCCACCCCATCCACATCCCCTTTCCCCCCACCCCCCCTCCTCTTCCGCCTCCACCTCCTCGTCATGTTCCTCCTCCTCCTCCCCAAACCCCTCCTCCCCCCCCTTCCCACTCCACCTCTTGCCTTCCGGCGCACCTCCCCCCCACCCTGAAATTTGCCCAACCAAACCCTTCGTTTCCCCCTTTCCTCCTCTCCCCCTGCTTCGCCTTAAGCTTGAGAGAGGAGGAGGAGGAGGAGGAGGAGGAGGAGGAGGAGGAAGAGGAGGAGGAGGAGGGAGAGGAGGAAGAGGAGGAGGAGGGAGGAGGAAGACGAGGAGGAGGACAAGGAGGAGGAGGAGGAGGAGGAGGAGGCAAATGAGACAAAAGAGAGAGAGAGAGGGGGGGGCCGTGCAAGCTCCCTCGCGCCCAGCGAACGGGGGGAAGAACCCACCCGCGTGCCAGCAGGCACCTGGCCAGCGCCAAGCGCCCCTGGATTGCCCCTCCCCCGCGAAGCAGCGAGGGCGAAAACTGGGACAGGCAACGCGTGGGTTCCACCCCCCACATGGGCTGCCCGCCCCCTTTCAAAACTGAGTCCTCGACAGGACCTGCCACGCCCCTCGGAGCTCCCAGACCCAGCCTCATCCACCTGGGAGCCCCGTGACGCCTGCCAGAGTCTCGATCACGAGCACCTCTGGGAATCGAGCGCTCCTGCGAACGCCTTGCGCACAGCGGCATGGACATCGGAGGAGCCGAGCAAGGCCTCCGACACGAACGCCGCAGCCTGCACCACGAGCCCCTGCGCCAGCAAGTGCACCACGTGGCCCACGTCCTCCTCGAGCCCCTAGGACTGGGAGCCCCCTGACAGTGACCCCCGACGTGACCATCCCGCACTGCTTCTCCTCGAAGCACGAACCAGCATCGACGACCTCCGACGTCGCGAACTCGCTCACCATGTCCAGCTTCTCGTCGTCGCACGAACCCTCCTCAATGACCTCGAACGTCCCGAACTCGTTCACATTGTCCAATTTCTGATCGTGGCACGAGCCCGCATCGACGACCTCCGACGTCACGAACTCGTTCACATTGTAAAGCTTCTCCTTGTAGCACGAGCCCCCGACGACGACATCGACGTCGCGACCTCGCCCTGTTTGCCCACCTTCTTGCCAGTCGCCTCCAGCACGCCGTGCTCGAGCCTCCACTGGGCGAGGCGGCTCTCCTGCGCGACTGAGGCCCTTTGGAACGCCAACTGGTGGGCCTCGACCGCGGCCTTCGACGGGTCTCCAACCTTCGACGGCGCCTCGGCCTCGAGGGTCGCCTCGAGCTGCGAGCTCTTGCCGACAGCCTCCGACTGGACGATCCCGCACAGGTTCCTGTCGCAGCGCGAGCCCTCCTCGACGATCTCCGACGTCGCGAACCCGCTCACCTTGACCTGCAGCTACTCGTAGCACGAGCCCGCACCGACGACATCCAGCACCGCGGACTTCTCCTCTGTACCAATCCATGAGCGCCTCGCCGTGGGACTCCCCCTCGGACACAATGCTCTCGCTGTCCGCGAGCTTGAAACCGTCAACCAGTTTCAGCCCCACACCTTGTCCGGCTTGTATTCGTTGTGTTTTTTTCCTCAAATACCTTCTTGTCCTCTTCCGCCTTCTTCGAGCGTGCGTTCACGCTATCCTTCTGGGCCTGCAACGCCCGCTCGATGTCCAGCCTCGCCTGGGATTTGCAGGCGACGCTGTCCGCTCCACCAGAGCTCTGGGCCTTCTCCATCCTCAGCTGCTGCCCAAAGTCCCTTGGCGGCGGCGACGGCGGCGCCACGGATCCGTCCAGGATCGCTAGCGGTTGGGATGCCACGGGCGTGGAGGACGCGCTCGCCGTGGGCCGCGCCTCTGCTGGCACCTCGTCCATCACCGGGCGCGCCGCCCGCTGAGACGGCCCGCGAGCTGGCGACCGCGGCACCCGAGCCCCCAGCAGCACGCGCCCCCGCCGCCTCCACCGCTGACGAGATAGCATCCTTCCCCGCGGCGTCCGTCTCTCGGGTCGGGCGAAAGGGGGGGATAGCAAAGGGGGGGGTTGAGAATCAGCTCTTGTAGCTGATTTTCCCGGCGCCTCCCGGCGCCGGAGGCGACTATGTATCGAGGAATGGGCCCCTCAGTGGGGCCGAAACCAGCTGCATGCAGCAAATTTCGTAACCCCCCCTTTCCCAATCCCCCCCTTTCGCCCGGCCCGAGTCTCTCCAGCGCGCTGGCGCCACGGAGACCTTGCCAGAGCGGCATCCGTCCGCGCCCCGCGCCATGTCGTCCAGTGGCCCCCGCCGGCTGCGCCACGTCGAGCGCGAGATGCCCCGAGCTGCGGGGCAGCCCCTGCTCGCGCCGAGATGGCTGGGAGGAGGAGAGGGGGAGGAGGAGGAGGAGGAGGAGGAGGAGGAGGAGGAGGAGGAGGAGGAGGAGGAGGAGGAGGAGGAGGAGGAGGAGGAGGAGGAGGAGGAGGAGGAGGAGGGGGAGGGGGACGAGGACGAGGAGGAGGAGGGTCCAACGCCCAGGGAGCCCACGGACTGCGCGCGTTTCTCAGGCCCATGGCACCTTTCTTCTCGTGCTTGCAACACCACGTCTGCTTCTTGGACGACCATCCGTCCTGCAGGCTCGAACGGGGAGAACAAAGAGGAGGCGTAAGAGACGAGGCGATACCTAGTAGGGTTGGAACGATGAGGGTCAACGATGATTAGGGGGGGGACCAGCTCAGCGAAGGAAACATCGAGCTCGCATCGGCGATGCGTCGCCGATAGATCAACGCCAGGCCCACGATAGCAAATCCGGGCGTTCCTGGGCGAATCCCCCACTATCGTCGCCCCCGAAACGAGAGGGAGCGAAGCATGGAGCACGGAGCATGGATTGGCTTGGGTCCAAAGGCCCAAGTTCGGAAGAGAAAGCTGTGAAACGCATCAGGGAAAAGGGGGTATCAGCCACCACCGCGGTGCGGCACGCATCGAATGGCCCCGCCCTTACCAGCGAATCCACGCATGCGCACCATCTTGAAACTTCCCGGCCTACGGGAGGAGCAAGAGGGACGTGGCCAGCCCCGCGCCCACTCGGCCGAGGCACGGAACCGCAGACCAGACCAGCCACGACTCGCCGAAGAGAAGTCCAGCATATCGCGCACGAGGAGAGAAGGCGGGCATGAGCACCGTTGAAGCGATCCTTATCCCCACCGGCGTGGTCTCGGCCCTACTGGCCGAATTGCCTCCCTGGATGGGGATATAGGCTGCTCATTTCATGTTGCGAGGGGCAGGTCCCCAACTCTGGGGCTGGGATGGTGGGGCTGAGATACTATGGCCCAGTGTAGGCCTCTGTATCGTGTAACCTTCAAACGATACTGAGGGTAGCGCCGCAAGGGCGGCGTGGGAACCACGCGCCCCCGCACACCCCGCGTCGCACGTCAGCCGCGCCCAGAGCTGCCAGAGAAGCACCGGGTAAGACGAAGCCAGGACGAGGATCCGATCGGACAAGGATAGATCGGGGATCTGTGAGACCCAGCGGTCCTGGAGGACGTACCAGGCGCCGCGGCCTTCTCGGAGCGTTCCGAAGCGCACTGAGAGCGTGCCCGAACGCTCTGGAACGGATTTGTCCTTGTCCTGTAGCCTCGCCCGGCAAGGGCAGCGGCCAAGGCAAAGATCGGCTGGGCGCCGGCCAGTCTGTCTCGCGCCGTACCCCGGTGCAGGCTGGGCATCCCGAGCCGTGCCTCTGCTAGGCTTCATCCACAAGGCCAAAAAATTCAGTGAAACATACTGTTCTCAAACATGGTTGCGTCTGGGAGACATCATGGGAGGACTCTGGGTCAGCATGCTCCAAGACGGCAACAGGCAGCTCGAAGTTGCATCCAAGATGGCGCAAGATGGTCCAGGACGGCTCAAACTGTCCTCCAAGGTGCCTCGACGAGGCCGCAGACCATCCCACGACGGCTCCAAGAGCTTCCGGAGCCTCCCAAGGCCGCTCCCAAGAGGTCAAAACCATCCAAAAAACTCAAACAACCAATACATATTACATGTCCGATGGGCGTCGGACTCATCAAGATGCGTGAAATATGGCACGCGAGAAAACCGGAAGAATGATCATGGTGGACCCAAGACTGCCTCAAGATCGCCTCAGAGCGCCTCAAGAGCGTCCCAGGAAGGACCAACGAGATAACTGTTGGGCTCAAGAGGAGCTGCGCTGACAGGAGACCCCCTTATTTGATCGATGTCCTCCAAGATGGCCCCAAGAAGGCTTCAAGAGGGACCTCAGAGAGCCCCCCAAACTCCACCAGCCTTTTAGAGCGTGAGTGGTTTAGAGAGTTACTCTTCCCCCAGGCGACCAGCAGCCAACCAGGACCAATACCAAAACCCCGCCCTCATCCCTGACAATGAAGAAGGGGCGAGCACGGAATGGCCGCCCTGGTTGTTCACACTTGCCTCCATCGGATAGTGTAGTCGCAGTGGGCACGGATCTTGATTGGGGCCTCCGCTAGATAGGGTAATTGCAGTGAGCAGTGTTTGGGAGGAAGGGCAAGGGAGCGTCCAGGAGAAGAATCAGTAGGCGCTCGTTGTAAGGTCAGTTGGGTCATAAGCGTGCTGAGTAAAATAGCCAAAGCGTGGCTGCAAGCAGGGTCCCTACTCGATGCGGAACTCTTAGACATGGTCTTGGGGAATCCTTTCCTTGAGACGGCAGAATATGATGAGTCCAGAGCGGGTCAGAGCACGTAACTACATCCTCCAGGTGTTGCACGGCGACTGCTCGCCAATACGGGTAGTAAAACAAAGGTAAGTAAGTCCATGGCGGCGGAAGATGTTTACTACAACCATTGGATGAACAACCGAGGGCATCCAAATGCGGGGTACTATGACTTGCGTTGCTGCAGTGCCGGGAGGTGTAGAAGTAAGGGGCATGAGAAACAATGTGTGCACATAATTAGAAGCGTGGCGTGCGCTCCCATGTGAAGACATTGAGAAAGGCTGGGTGTGGTGGACTGCCCGCCCAGCCCTTTAGAAGTTGGTGATGGAGACAATCAAAGCAGGAACCTGCCCTCAGCGCCCACCGTTCTCGGAGGCCCCACTGCACCCACCTTGCGGACGTGCTGCAGCGGATTGTTGCGCGGATTTCTGTCAACCCCCGAAACGGCGAGCGAAAAACTAAGTGCTTTTCACTTGGATTTGCTGTAGTCTTCATTCCAGACCAAAAAATCCACACGAAATTCAATTCGAAGTCCGGAACGAAATTCTCCAGGACAATCCGGGCCAATCCAATTGTTTTTCGAACGAAATCCACTCTGCGATGTTGGCAGCATGACGCTTCAGAACCTTCTTGGTGCAAAAGCGCGCGGTGGTGGTGTGAACCAAGCGGAGCCTCCGGCCGGCGCCCTCTGGGCAGCGGCCACGGCCGACGACGAGGGCTCGAGGGTCGCGCGGGACCTTGGACCCGACCTGGGAGAGCTTCGTTGCCGGTTGGAGGCCGGTGACGGAAAAGGGCGTGTGGATTGCCCTCTCGCACGCGGCCGTGCGAGCCCGGACCGCATTCCGCGCCGCGCGGCGGGTTGCGCGGCGCGCTGCCCTCGCCGGAGGTCCCCCGGCAGGGGGCCGATCCCCAGGCGTCGGACTCACGGAGACGGCCCCGTGGAGGCTTCCAGACGTTCGTCGGAGCGCCCAGGGAGCGGACTGGTGGCCATTGTGACGCGAAGAGTCCGAACTTGTGTTCCGAGGCGGATTTCCCCGACGCCTCGGGCTCTGGCAGTCGCTACTGCGGGCCAGAGAAGACTCAAGAGCGGCTGGCGCTGTATGCGCGCCGTCACCAGGGCAAGTTGGCCCACAACCTGCTGACGAAGATGGCAACCACAGTGACGCTGGGGGCCGAGGCGGCCAGCGACTCCGACCCCCTGGTCGACAAGGCCCTTGAGGTGGCCAGCTCTTACTGCCTACGGGTGCTAGCCCCCAAGCGCCAGGCCGCAGGCAAGCGCAACTTGGCGGACATGGCCCACATGTACCGCCTCTTGGACCTGATGGTGAAGAAGAAAACTCAGACGGCCATCGACTTCGTCGCGCAACATTTGCGCTGGAAACGGCGAGCGTCGACAGCAATGTCTTAAGTTTTGGAGCTTATGGAAGAAGAGGCGGCCTCCCTGGCCGGCCGTTCAGAAGAGTACATGATGTGAGCAGAGGTCTGGGCCGAGCAGCACTTGGAATCGCGTCAGATTCAATACCACAACCAGATCTACCAGAACCCGAGCTACCAAAACCTGCACAAGTACGGCAAGGGCGGCAAAAAAGACCTGGGATCCGATCCCCGGCACGCCAGCAACCCGCAGAACAACAAAGACCTGGCCTTTCTCACGAGGGAAACGGGCAAAGGCAAGGGATGCGAAGCGGGCCTGTGAGGGACTCGCTCCAAATGTGAATTCTGGGTCACTCTTGGATGTTGATTCCAAGGGCACGGCGGCAAGGTTGCCGTCAACAACGGTGGCGGTCCCTTCTACCGAGCGCCGCACTTTGCGGTCTGCCGCGGCCAGCGCCAAAGGCATGGCCAAGTCTATACCTATGCACGTGCATCATTCTACAGTTATTTCAACAGGGACGTGTCGCAACGGCAGCAAAATATGTGAGAGGAAACCAACCAGCTGGACACTACGGGTCAATGGGAGTTACTCGAAGACGGGCTGGGCTCACTCAATACTCCTCTGGGTCGTTACGCCTCCCTCGGTCCCGTCCCTGGCACCCAACCACGTGGCAACTTACTGCCCATTAAGCCCCTTGCTGCGAAACAGGAGGCTTTGCAACTCTCGCGCGAGTGTGGTCACGACGTTGTCCTGGCGTCCAGGTGCAAATCCGCAGTACGGTGCATAGTCACGGCGCTGAGGTGGAGTTGCGCAAAAGGCAACGCCTGTCCGTCTCTCAAATGTGGGGAGCGGCCCGCGAGTTCCTGGCGCAAGATGCCGTGGCGCCGAGTGTCTGCTGTGGAATGTGATTTCTACACCAAACGCCTTGACTACGCAGGTGGGCCAGTGGCCGTGCGCCGGCAACTGGTTGCCGACAAGGTATTGCCCGCCTGGCCGTCTGCCCGGGAGGCCGCGGCAAACCCCATAACTACATTCCTTGACGGAGATATCCAGGATGACGTCCAGAATCCCGCCAAATTCTGACTCCCTCCAAGAATGGCCGAACGAGCCGCCCGTGCCGCGAGTTCATGCATCGGGCCGCGAATGGTATACAATTGTCCAATAAGGCGCGCGCCGCGGCAGACTTTCAGACGTGGCCGATCCGGACATTTCCCGCGACGCCGACGGCAGCCCCGTTCTGACCGGGGCAATGGGCATGGAAAAACCTCCCAAAGGCAAGGAAGGAGGAGAAGTGCTTCTGCGCTTCATCTCGATTCAATGTGTACACCGATCAATGCGCATCTGCGCAAGCTCCGCGGCGACAACCACACTCTGCCCGTGGCTACGCTCCTTCGGTCCTGCGTCCTGGAGGATGGCGAAGAGTTTCTGGACGACACGGAGGACTAGAAAGGCTGTTTCAATATATTTGGCAAGCCGCCGCACTGGTTGGGATACAATACATGCGCTAAGCAGGTTCCTGCATTCGCGTTTGGTAGGGGCCAGAACCGACTGGCATGGGTTGGCATGCGATGCGAGGCGGCCGTGGCCATCATGCAACGCGTCATCAGAGTCTGAGTCTTCGAGCGCGGTGGACCCAGTCAGCTTGGGTCACCAAGGGGTCCAACGTCATATTAAGGATCCGCGGTAATATGATGTTACCTTCCTGAGGCTGATGATGATGATGCTGGCGCTGATGATGCTGGTGATGAGGCCGGAACGGACGACTTTCTGGGACAGTGGGGATACAACCCTAAAGGGGCTCAAAGAAACTGTCGAAAGACATCCGAGGAGACTCCGAGAGGCATCATGATCTGCTCGCCCTCCTCCTCCTCCTCCGCTTCCTGCTCTTCCTTCCTCCTTCCTCCTTTCTTCTCCCCCGCCACATCTCCCTTCTCCTGCTGCTGGCCTCCTCCAATTCCTCCGATTCCTCTTTCATCCTCCCCCTCTTGGGGCATGACGTCTTACCCAGCCCTTTATTCCAATACATGCTCCTCCAAATCCCTGATCAAAGCAACTCGTCTGAACATCGTTTGGATGGGCTCAGGCGGAGTGAGCGCGGAGTCAGAAGCTGTCCGGGGCGCAGAAACAGGCCTAATTAGCTACTGGACGCGCCGCAGGCCGGCCAGGCCAGCTCACAAAGCAGCTGCTGTGTCGCGCAGTGAAGCTGACAGGCTGAGGGCACCCAGGGAAGGCTGGTGGGGTACGCGAAACGTCTAGAATATGCTCTAAGAGTGGCCCCAAGAGGGCCCCAAGTAAGCTGCTAAGAGGCTTCCCCAGTCGAAGACATGCATGGTTGACCCATAGGTCTGCACATGCTGATCCCGAATTTCTGTGTGACGGCTGCCCCACCTCGCTGTCCCACTGCTTGATCATACAGTTCCTGGTGCAAGCAACTCGCCTGGGCATCGTCATGGGATGGCGATGCGAGCATGCATTGGAGAAGTGTCAGCTGGAGGCCCGTTCCAATTGAGAAAGAAACGACGCAGTCGACCGCGCAGTACCATCTCGTCCAGATGCGGGTGTGATCTTCTGCAGACGACGCCTCTGGTACAAGTCTTTAAAAACTAAAAAAAACATGGGACCAAGACCCAAAACGACTGCCTCCTCAGCAGCACGCCATGTCATGCCCAAAAGAAACGATTCGGCGTGGCAGTCCCGCCAGTTGAGGAACCCCTCCTCGCAGTCGAAGGCACCGCCTCATCGCGCGCAATTCCCGAACAAACCACAACGACGTGCTCCCTGACGCTGGAGAGGCAAAAGGAAACTGGGAAAGGCGCAAGGCCGTCCACTACATGAAAAAAACACAATTGGCCGATTGAAAGTCCAGAGGGTGCTAGCGAGTGCAAGAGAGCGAGCTATGGGGACTTCCGACGGCGTCAGACGGGCCAGAAACGCCCTCGGACGGCCAAAGAGCCTCCCACGGAGCCCCCAAAGGCCCCAAAGAGTCCCAAGGAAACTCGTAAGAGGCCTCCAAGGAGGCCCCTAGGAAGCTCTAAGGAGACTCAAAGAGTGCACCAAGAGGCTCCCAAGAAGCCTCCTCCTCCTCCTTCTCCTCCTCCTCCTCCTCCCTCTCATTGTTTCTCCCTCTCCCCCTCTTCGTCGTCCAGCCTTCGTTTACCCAAAGGAGTGTCCACAACGGCTGGGGGAACACATCGCCCCACATATTGGCCGAGCTCTGGCCGCAATGCTCGGCCACAGAGGGGTTTCCAAAAGAGAGGGGGCGGCGGTGATTCGCCGTAGGCGTCTTCGATCCGCCGCCCCATGCGGCTTGCCACAGGGGTGCCTGGCGTGCAAATCTTCCGAATGGTTCGATAAAGGGGTTCTCGGCCGATCCCGCCAGCCACCCCAAGAGACCCATAAACGTCCCGGGTCATCAATCGTCCCGCTGCAGACGGCCGCAGAATGGCCTTCAAGACGGCCGCCGTGGCCCAATATTGCCTCAAGACGGTCCCAATGCAACCCAAGACGCTTCCAAGACTGCCAAGATAGCCCTAAGACGCCCCCGAATACCCTCCAGACGGCCTCAGAGGCCCCCAAGACACCCCGATGGAGATCCAAGAGGATCTCTTGGAGGCCAAGCCAAAATCGCGGATTCCCCATAGGTTGTTCTATGATTTTAGCGTTCTCACCTTTTCGGACATCCGACGCTCCAAGACGGCACAATCGGCTCTCAAGATCGTTCCAAGAAGGGCCCCAGAGGGCCCCAAAAGGACCGCAAGACGGCCAAAGAGAGTCCCAAGATGGCCCAAGAGGCACCTCGGCGGGCCCTGAGACGGCATGACAGAACTCCAAGATGGCCCCGAAGCGCAAAAAGGAAGGACCCATGACTGCCCAGAGGGGCCACCAAGACGAACTCCAAAGGCCAGGTCCCTTAGAGGCCCCCGAGAGGCCCCCAAGAGGGCCCAGGAGGCCTTAAAGAGGTCCGTCAGAGGCCCCGCAGAGGCTCCCAGAGGCCTCCCAGGAAGCCACAAGACGGCCTCAAGAGGCCTCATCCTCCTCCTCCTCATCCAACTTCTCCTCCCTCTCAGCCTCCTGTCTCTTTCTCTTCCAGGTGTTCCCCCTGGGGGGTCCAAAACGGTTGTGGGGATCACCGAGTGCAATTGCTTGACCAAACTTCGGCCCAATTTTTTGCCGCATAGGCGTTGCCAAAAGGCAGGGGCGGGGGTTGTTCGCCGTAAGCGTCTTCGATAACACAAGCGACTTACACTCCCTACAGGTTACGCACAACCTATCACTCACTAACTGCTGCTACCACGGCTAATGAGCGCCCTCAGGCCTTAGGATCTCTTACGTGGCTAGCCATACTAACTCCTACACCTGCTGCATACGACCGACTGTCTGTCTGCTACCTATCGCATACCATGTACATCATACTACATGTTGTCATGCTGCAGTACACACTATCCAATACGTCCCGCCTACGTACCACCCACTGTTCCAACGATTGCCCAATGTACCGCAAGCCCCACTCCCGACAAACGCGACCGACACAGCCTTGTATCCGTGACTACCTACCAGACCAACCCAACCCAACCCGAAGACCCGAATTTCGGGTTGGGGGGGTACGGGTTCCATATGTGTGTTTTTCTATGCTCCCCGACACACCCCCACTGGAAACGGAGGGCAAATTGGAGCCTTCGGGTTGGGTTGGGGTGGTTTGGTGGATGGTGAGTCCGACGCGTCGGCCTCCGGATCATCGCCCCTGCCTGCTGTTAAAACTAAGACTGTCGCGAAGCCCGACATGCCTCGCCAGCTCCCCAGCACGTGTATTTCGCTCTCTGTCGCCAACTCCCAAGTCCCTCTCGGCTCTGTCTTGATCTCTCTCTCTCTCTCTCCCTCCCTCTCCCCGTCGTCCTCGCTCTCGCTCTTGATCTCTCGCCCTACCTCTTCCTCTGGCGCCGCCCCGTCCTCCTCATCCCAGACCCCCATCGGATTGGCGGAGGGAGGGGAAGGAGAGTGGGGGGGGGCTGGAGGAACCCGGGAGGGAGCGAAGGACGGGGCGGAGAGAGGCGGGAGTTGAGAGGAGGGACGAAGGACGGGGGAGGGAGGGAGGATGCGTCACGCAGAACCCTGGTCGGGGGCTGCCCTGGCGCTGGCTTGCATCTCCGCTGACTCCGAAGACTGCGCCAATGCAATGCTGGTGCGGGAAGACAGGCGCACACCGAGCCGAGGCCTCCGCTGTGGCTGGAAGCGTGGCCGCTGGACGCGGTGATGTGGCTGCCGTGGCTGGACGCAGCAAGGTCGCCGCCGCCCTCGCAGTAGTCCCTTTCGTCCTTGAGGGCGCGCTCAGGCTCAAAAAGCACGATTCAAGCAAATGGAATGAGACTCGGAAGGCAGACAGAATATCACTAACACGTTGCCGTTGGTTGCCCGTCGGCGTGTTGTTGTGAGAAGGCCTTGTGTTTCTTCAACAGTAACACGCTGACGGGTTCCCCGCGGCAGCGTGTCATTGATACTGCATTGGTTCCCCCAGAGATGCTGGCCAGCCCAAAGAGCGGGGGGGGGAAGATCTGCACAGGCCTGGCGCGGGACCATCGTCGCAGAGGGGGGATTGCCAGAGGCGTTTCTGGCACAAGTGCCCCCAGCTTTTCACAGCATGTTGGAGCCATCGGGGACCCCTGATCCTCACGACGGGTGCTTCGGAGGCCACACGCGAGGGCCACTCGGGGCCAGGGCCACCGCTGGCAACAGCCGCAAGTCGCTTGATCACTCCACCCGATGCGCAGGATCCAACAGCCAACGACAATCAACAATATTACTAAACGAGAACACAAACAACTGCGTCCCGCACGTATCAGCCCCATCCATGACGCCACGCGATCAAACACCACAGTACCCCCCCACGGAGTGAACGCACGCACACACACACACACACACACACGCACACACACACACACGTTTTCACAGACCCTTCTATTTCATGTGTATATGCATGCACAGATACATACATACATCGGTAATGAGGCGGTGAGATCGATGTGGAAAAGAGAGCCCCCAGCCGGGAAATCGGTTTCGGTTTCGTGTTCGTGCGTGCCGTGCGTGCGGGCGAAGCGAAGCTGCGTGGGCGGGCGAGAAATGTCCCGCCTCTGGCTGAGGCGCGGCCGGACCAAATGTTTCCTGTCGGGGGGCCGGGGGCGCGCGGTGTCCCGCCGGTGTCCCTTCGGGGTCCCGTCGGTGTCCCGATGATGATGGTGATGATGTTGATTATGACGATGTTGATGATGATGATGGCCATGGTGGTGGTGACGATGGTGTCCCGATGATGATGATGTTGATAATGATATGTTACTGATGATGGTGATGGTGGTGCCCCGATGATGATGGTGATGTTGCTGATCCTGATGGTGCTGGGAAATGGAATGATGAGATGATGCTGATGATGACGATGGTGCCCCGATGATGATGATGTTGGTGATGATGCTGTTGATGATGATGGTAATGACGGTGATGGTGTCCCGATGATGCTGGTGATATTGCTGATGATGGTGATGACGATGGCTGTGTCCCGATGATGATGTTGGTAATGAGGATGATGTGATCCTGATGAGGTTGATGATGGTGGCCCTGTGATGATGATGTTGATGTTGGTGATGGTGTCCCCGTGAAGATGATGGAGATGAGGATGATGGGGACGATGATGATGGTGCCCCGATGATGGTGATGATGATGTTGATGATGATGGTGCACCTATGCTGATGTTCATGATGTTGTTCATGGTGATAGTGCGATGCTGATGATGGCTGTGTCCCGATGGTGATGATGGTGATGGTGTCCCGATCATGATGTTGATGTCTATGATGCTGATGGTGACGATGATGGTGTCCCGATGATGGTGATGTTGATGATGATGTTGTTGATGATGATGGTGCCCCGATGATGATGATGATGTTGATGATGTTGTCCATGATGATGATGCGATGCTGATGGTGGTGTTCCAGTGATGGTTATAATGACGGTGATGATGATGATGATGGCCATGGTTTTTGATGATGGTGTCCCGATGATGATGGTGTTGGTAATGATGATGTTGCTGACGATGATGATGGTGCTCCGGTGATGATGATGACGATGATCCTGATGATGGTGAAGATGATGGCATGACGGTATGATGATGAGGGAGATGATGTTGATGGTGTCCCGATGATATTGACATCATTTTGATGACGAGGCTGATGATGTTGATGGCCATGGTGGTGATGATGCTGGTGGCCCGATGATGATGCGGATGATGATGTTGCTGATGCAGATGATGGTGTCCCGGTGATGATGATGTTGATGATCCTGATGATTCTGGGGATGATGCGATGACGAGATGGTGATGGTGAAAGTGATGATGACGATGGTGTCCCGATCATGATGATGAGGTTGATGTTGATGTTGCTTATGATGATAGTGGTGATGATGATGGTGGTGTCCCAATGATGATGATACAGCTGGTGATGATGGTGACGGCGACGATGGTGCCCCCCGAAAATGATGATGATGTCAATGAGGAAAAGGTGATGGTGATGACTTTGATGATGGCGGCCCGATGATGCTCATGATGGTGCTGATGTTGATGATGACGGTGTCCCGGCGATGACCATAATAACGGTGATGATGATGGTGTCGGTGATGATGGTCCGGATGATGATGATGTTGATGGTGATGATGTTGCTGATGGCGATGATGGTGGTGTCCCGCTGATGATGATGTTGATGATGATGCGCATGCTAATGATGAAGTGATGATGATGATGGTATTCCGATGATGATGGTGGTGGTGTTCCGATGATGATGACGTGGGTGATATGATGGTGACGATGATGGTGTCCCGATGATGATGGAAGATGATGATGATGTTGGGGATGCTGGTGGTGATGTGATGATGATGATGATGGTGCCCCGATGATGATGATGGTGATGATGATGTTGATGACGCTGATGACATTGATACTGACGATGACGATGGCGTTGATGGTGTAATCAATTGTGATATCGATAGTGGGATTGACAGTGGGACCGAACGCGAGATAGATTGCGAGATCGATTGTGAGATCGGTAGTGAGATCGAATGCGAGACCGATAGCCACATCGACTGTGAGATCGATACAATGAAATAGATCGAGTGGGATCGATTGCGAGATCGACCGGGTGAGATCGATCGAGCGAGACCGATAGTGAGATCGATCGTGGAATCGATAGTGAGACCGATCGAGTAAGACAATGCCGCCCCCGCCCCCCCCCCCCCCCCCGAACCTCCTCATCACCCGAAGGGTGGTCGTGTAGGTGCATGCACGCATACGCATGTATGTTTATGAGGAGCGAGCGATATATATATACACACACATATACATACATTGAGAAAGAGAGATAACATGACAACAAAAAAAACAGAAGAGAGGGAAACCCGTTCGGCGCGCCATATCAGTTGCAACCGTACCAATCCAACTTACGTTGGCTCGCGTCGCCACACCTACACCTCCACGCAGCAGTATCTATCCGGATTACGCACTCACAACTTGTGATTCGGAGCCGCTGGGCTGCGGGGCCCCGCGGTCATATTCACCCCCGAAGTCGCAAATATGAGTGAGTGGCGTAGCTAGATGTAGGTACCTGATCGCACCCTCAATCGGCTGTAGCTCCCACACCTACCCTGGAGAGCCAGCCATCGCGACATGCATTGTCAAACCCTCAGCCTTGGTCAGCAAGTAACACGCCCGCTTTGAATGCCTCCCCATCCGCTTCCCCGGCGCAAACATGCACCACTTGGCTGGAGTAGAGACCCACAGGAAGGCGCAGTCCGCAGCTAGCATGGCGCCCAGGAGCACTAGGTGGACAAAGGCAAAGGGAAGGGGGAGAGGCAGGGGGGGGGCGGGAGAGAGGGGGCGGGAAGGGGGGCGGGAAGAGGGCGGGGGGGGGGGGAGAAAGGGAAGGGCGGCGGAGGCGCAACGGTGGCAAGGCAGTCGACGCGCGCTCACCTCTGCAAACTGGCGGGGAAACACAGCCAGGGACAATTGAACGACCTGTCTGTGAGCACGCACTGGCATGGCCTCCATCGCTGCGTCCTGGAAGTCCTGGGGTCGGTAAATGCAGTATGTCCTGGTACGCGTTGTCTCCTAATTTGGCTGCTGGATCTCCTGAGGCGCCGTTGGTGGCGTCTTGGCAGAGGATATTGCTGGCCTCGTCGGTGAGCGCGTAGAGAGAATCCCAGAGTACTTCCCCAGCGTCTTCTTCAGATAGCGAACTGGATCCCCACGTGAGGAACATGCGCCGCGGCGGGAAAGGCTGAACTCCAACGCCCTAGACCAGCTCGCTTTTGAGCGAGCATCTCTGCCGCGCCCCCTTGGGCCCATGCCCGTGCAATGGCGGCTGGGGCCTCAGCTCCATGCAGAAAATGCCAGGCAAAACCTCGCTGAATCGAACGCCAGATGGTCTCTGACTTGCCTCCTCTGCGAGAAAGGCGCGGCGCGGGCTCTGCTCGTGGGAGGCGGGCCCATAACGAGCTCAACGCGTCTGTCAAATGCGCGGTGCTGCTGGGCAATGTGCAGCTGCATCGCGGGCCTATTGAATAATCTTTCGTGGCGCCAAAGGCGCTCCAAGCTGATCCCGCCCTTTTGCCCCGCCTGTCTCAATGGTTGCTCTGGGTGTGCAATGGGCAATGGCACTCCGCGTGATCTGGCGTTGTCGAAGAAATCAGTTTCTGTTGCTATAGAACGACGCCTGGAAGCAGAACCATGGTTGACCCGCGCTCGCTGGAGCAATCCCCCCCCCCCCCCCCCATGGTTGCAATGGCCTGGACCTGAAAGCGAGGTCTTCCCAAGGACTTGGGTCGACGTTGGGGTCGGGGAGCTCTTCTAGCTCCTTGATGACGTGGTTTACCAGCCCAGGTCATTGAACACCTCTCTTAGCCAAGAGGTGGGGGAGGAGTGATATGACATGGCCACTAGGCGGTTGAACACCTCGAAGCCGCGGTGTAGGACTAGGGCCCCCCCGAAGACCAGGAGCCCGCGTGCCCTGAGCGGTGTCTGCACATCTGCTCGTCGCACTGCTGCTAGAACCACTGAGCTACTAACTGCACTGCAATCGTACGTGGCCATGCGCGCTGAAGAACGGCACTTGGCGAGAACACTGCTGCACGGGGAGCGCTCTTGCGCCTCCGCCGTGCCACGCCAGGTGCCAGCATCAAATAGCCCCGAGGACGTTATGAGCAAACCAAGGAACTGCATCTTGATTTCAACGTCTGGCGCGCGCCCTCCCACGCAAGGAAAACTTTGCGCCGTAGCTGGTGCCGC